CCGCTCTGGCAGAACTATGGCTTGCCCAAGGTCATCCAGCAGGTGCGAGTGGAGGAGTGGGGGAATCAAACCCGGTTCTCCCAGATTAGAGTCCGCACTCCTAACCACTACACCAAGCTGGCTCTCACAGTGTCCACATGGACACCGGTCACACAGCGGATGATGAATAGCGAGATGATCGGAATGAAGTGAAAACTGTGGCCAGACTCACTGGAAAAGACAATAATGCTAGGAAAAGTCAAGGGCAGCAGGAAAAGTGGGAGACCCAGCATGAGGTGGACGGACTCCCTCAAGGAAGCCACAAAGGGCCCTCTGTTTGCAAGACCCGAGCAAGGCAGTGAATGAGAGGATGTTTGGGAGGACATTGATTCATAGGGATGCCGTGAGTCGGCAGTGGCTTGATGGCATAACACAAACACACACACACAGCTTGTTTGGGAAATCTGGAAACTGAAAAACACACCTATGCATAGTACTTGATGCATCAGATCCAGGAAAGAAGGCCAAGCGATCCAGAGCTCCAGAGTCCTGCGAGGAATTCTGATGAGGAGAGTTTTGAAAGAATGCCTGAAAGGCCGGCCGTTGCCAAAGCAACCCGCAGGGTCTTGTCATGCGGTCTCTCCAGCGTCTGGTGCGTTCTGCTGCAGCTTCACCGAAGGCAGATAGAAAGCACGCGGAAGCTCCTTTCGTGTAGCCGTCACTGCGTTGAGGCCTCTGGGTCCCTCCTCCATAGTTGAACACTTCTCGGGGGTGTGAGAGGACAGCCTCCGTCGCATGGGTAAAAACAGTGGAGCAGAACTCTTCAGCAGAGCATGTGAAAGGGGGAGTTCACACGTGCTCGTTCACTGCCTGATTATTGGCATTTATAAAATAACTGTTGCACATTTTGTGACACGACCCATGTCACCTGGCAGTGGCTTAGTTGGCACATTCAGGAGTGTGTCTGCCTTTCTTTACCGCAAGCAGAGCTATTTTGGGGCAGGAACGCACAGGGACGGAGTTCCGGCTGGCTCCCGAGTTGGCCACGCCCAGCAGGAACTCATTAGCATAGCAGGCCACACCCAACAGCAGGAACTCATTAGGATTGGCTACATTAGGGGTGTGTGGCCTAACATGCAAAGGAGTTCCTGCTCCAAAAAAAGCCCTGGGTTTTGACAACAAACAAGGTAAACAGAATAAGAAGGGAAAGGTGGGTGTGGCTGGATGACCACATTTCTGGTAACATGGGGTGTGGCCTAATATGCTAATGAGCGGTGCTGTCAGGGTTTGGCCTAATATGCTAATGAGTTTCTGCTGTTGGGTGTGGCCTATTATGCTAACGAGTTCCAGCTGGGCTTTTTCTACAAAAGGAGCCCTGACCGCAAGTGTTTTCAAGAATCCAAAGGAAGCATCAGACTCGCTTACGGGGGGTAGAAAGTTTAGATCAAACAGTGTGATCACGTACCCCGGTGTGGCGCAACGGTTAAGAGCAGCGGACTCTCGTCTGGAGAACTGGGTTCGATGCCCCACTCCTCCACACAAAGACGGCTGAGCGAGTGACCTTGCGAGAGCCACGGTTCTCTCCGAGCCCCCTCACAGCCCCACCTGCCTCATGTAAGGTGCCTGTTGTGGGGGGATTAAAGGAAGGCGACTGTAAGATGCTTTGAGACTAACCAGGGCTTTTTTGTAGAAAAAGCCCAGCAGGAACTCATTAGCATAATAGGCCACACCCAACAGCAGAAACTCATTAGCACATTAGGCCACACCCCCATGTTACCAGAAGTGTGGTTATCCAGCCACACCCACCTTTCCCTTCTTATTCTGTTTACCTTGTTTGTTGTCGAAACCCAGGGCCTTTTTTTGGAGCAGGAACTCCTTTGCATGTTAGGCCACACACCCCTAATGTAGCCAACCCTAATGAGTTCCTGCTGTTGGGTGTGGCCTATTATGCTAATGAGTTCCTGCTGGGTGTGGCCAACTCGGGAGCCAGCCGGAACTCCGTTCCTGTACGTTCCTGCCCAAAAATAGCCCTGAGACTAACGTAGATAAAAGTGGGGTGTAAAAAGCAACTCTTCTTCCAACACTTCATTTTGCAAAAGGATGAGATTTGGTGGTGAAACGGTCTGAGCCCCTGACTTGATTCCTGACTATTGTGCCTGTATCCTGATCACCCAGGACTAGGGTTGCCAGGTCGGGGCTGGAAAATGCCTGGAGACTTTGGGGGTGGGGCCAGGAGAGGACGGGGCTTGGGGAGGGGAGGGGCCTCAGCAGGGTACAAGGCCACAGAGTCCACCTTTCAAAGCAGCCGTTTTCTCCAGGGGAGCTGATCTCCGTCAGCTGGAGATCAGTTCTAAAAGCGGGAGATCCCCCGGCCCCACCTGGCAACCCTGCCCAGGACTGTTTCTCCCCGGGGCAGATCTCTTCTGTTTGGTGTAGTGATTGGGAGCACAGAATCTAATCTGGGAGAACTGGGTTTGAGTCGCAACTCCTCCACATTCAGCTGCGGGGGTGACCTTGGGTCAGTTACAAGTTCCCCCACAGCTGTTCTCTCATGAGCAGTTCTCTCTCAGAGCTCTCTCAGCCCCGCCTACCTCACAGGCTGTCCCTCGTGGGGAGGGGAAGGGAAGGAGATTGTAAGCCGCTCTGAGACTCCTTCAGGTGGTGAAGGGGGGGGTATCAATCCAATCACCGTCTCCTCCTCCCCCTCCCCTCCCCCTCTTCTTCTTCCTCCTCTTCCTCCTCTTCCTCCTCCTCCTCCTCCTCCTCCTCCTCCTCTTCTTCTTCTTCTTCTTCTTCTTCTTCTTCTTCTTCTTCTTCTCCTCCTTCTCCTTCTCCTTCTCCTTCTCCTTCTTCTCCTTCTTCTTCTTCTTGCTGGAGAATGGCCCACAACAACAGAATGGGGAAAGGCAAGACTCCCTCCCTTACCTTACATGCAAAAACCAGCAACCTGATCGGAACTGCCCGGTCTCATCTACTTTGGCTGCACTCCAGTGTCCCCCAGGATTCAGACCTGGGCGTGCTTCGTTTGCCCAAGCCCCAGCAGCTCCGAACACGATAGCTCCTAGGGCCTTTCTACCCTGGCTTGGGGCTTCCCTGCTGGGGCTTTAAAAATCACGGCTCCGAGGCGGCAGGATTGCTGCTGCTGTAGCTAGCTTGGAGGGAGATGGTTTTGCCTACTGGCGTGACTCCCCTCTGGGCTTCGTTGGGGAGCGATTGGAGGCTTCTTCGGGTGGCGTCGGGAAAACCGGGTGTCCGGGCTACTGCCAGCGCCGTTAGCCTGAGCAAGCCGGCTGGGTTTCACTGAGCTGGGCTTGATTAGCAAGCCCAGCAGGCAATCTCGGATAGTTAATGAGGGTGCCCTGTGACTTTTTGACCCAGCGCGTCCTGATGGTTTGCAGAGAAGCAGGCAAGCTGTGTGTACTTGGGCTCATGTTTGGGATTAAGAGTGGCATCTCACTGATCCGTTATTGAAATGAGCATCCTATTTTTTTGGGGGGGGGAGAAGCATCTGTATTCCCATTTGGCCATTGTTTTGGAAAGTTAATTGCCACTGTCTTCAGTACCGAATACAGGGGGAAGGCAGGCTGGCGTCTGCATGTGCTTGAGACCGAGATAATTCAAAGCGGCTTTCATTTGATCCCGTGGCTGGTAACCAGCTTGGCTGTGACTGTGTCTCCTTTGATGCTAAAATAACATTTCAAACATATTCCAGAATACAAACCTCATTAAGAGGAAGTTACAGCATCAGCATCTTGAGGGAAATGAAAACTTTTTTAAAAGAACGTCGAAATTAGGAGCAACCAAACAAGCAGCGGGAACGCAGGCAGACAGAAGCTTAGAGGAAACTTTCTACAAAGATGAAAATGCAGCCTCTGAAACAAAATGTGTGGAATGAGGACGGGGGTGGCGGGGGGGGGGGGAATGCAGGAGGGGCCGTGCACGGCTCACCCCACTGGCTGCTTGTTCCAAAGCATTCCCGGAGGGTCTGTTGCGGAGGGTCTGTTTTTCATCGCTGTGCTGTCCTTCTTCTAGATAACTTCGTGGTTGACATCAGCTCTTGTGTACGGGCCTGTCCCAGCCCCAAGATGGAAGTGGAAGAAAACGGCATTAAGACCTGCAAGCCGTGCACCGACATCTGCCCCAAAGGTAGGCTGCCATTTCTTGGCGTTTTACCAGCTTCTTCTATTTCTTTATTTACATTATTTGTCATCCGCTTTTCTCACTGGGATCCGAGGCAGATTGCACGAAGCGCATCCATGCAGTCAGTTTCACGACACTCGTATCATGCTGTTCCTATACTTATGAGTGATGTTCATTGTACCCGGGTTCCTCAGTGTAGTGCCCTTCGGCATCATCCTGCCTGTCAGCACCTTTCCTGGTGCCCACCAAGTGTTTTGACAAAGTGGGCGGGGCCAGGTTTCAGTTGGGGGGATTCTGTCTTTCTTAGTATATTTTTTAAAATAAGAATATAAGAACATGAGAAGAGCCCTGCTGGGTCAGACCAGGGAGGGTCCCTCTAGTCCAGCCTCCCGTCTCACACAGGGGCCAGCCAGTTCCTCTGGAGGGCTGACAACAGGGCAGAGAGACCGAGGCCTTCCAGTCCAGCCTCCCGTCTCACTCAGGGGCCAGCCAGCCCCTCTGGAGGGCCAGCAACAGGGCAGAGAGGCCGAGGCCTTCCCCTGAGAAGGACACCAGAAGAGCCCTGCTGGGCCAGACCAGGGAGGGTCCCTCCAGTCCAGCCTCCCGTCTCACTCAGGGGCCACCCAGCCCCTCTGGAGGGCCAGCAACAGGGCAGAGAGGCCGAGGCCTTCCCCTGCTAAGGACACCAGAAGAGCCCTGCTGGATCAGACCAGGGAGGGTCCCTCCAGTCCAGCCTCCCGTCTGACTCAGGGGCCACCCAGCCCCTCTGGAGGGCCAGCAACAGGGCAGAGAGGCCGAGGCCTTCCCCTGAGAAGAACATCAGAAGAGCCCTGCTGGGCCAGACCAGGGAGGGTCCCTCCAGTCCAGCCTCCCGTCTCACTCAGGGGCCACCCAGCCCCTCTGGAGGGCCAGCAACAGGGCAGAGAGGCCGAGGCCTTCCCCTGATACCAGAAGAGCCCTGCTGGGTCAGACTAGGGAGGGTCCCTCCA